CACGCCAATAGCCTATGTCATATACAAAAGCATCTTCAGCAGACTCTAGGCACCCTTCCAAACTAACCACTGCCCCCCGTGCTTGGTCCTGCTCCCTGCTCTGGAAACAAGGCCTCAACAGAGCTCTCCAGAGACTTAAGCCAGATGACCTTGCATCAGCCACCCTAGCTGGGATGGTGAGATGTACCAATATCCCTGAAAAGGTATCAGTGCCATTTTCCTCCATACTGCACAACATGATGCCTGGCGTGTGGAGACACACCTCACAGCTTGCGGAACGCTGCCTCTCTTGAACACTTAGTCAGGATTGACTAATTCAGAGGCAAAGTATTTTCCTCCATGCTGCACAACATGATGCCTGGCATGTGGGGACACACCTCGGAGCTTGCAGAACACTGCAACACTTCACACTGGCACCCTTAGTCAGGATTGACTAATTCAGAGGCAAAGCTCTGCCAAGCCACCCATCCTGGTACTTATGGGCCTGAACCAGGCAAACACGTTTAGATGGTTAACAGCTTAACGCTGTCTTCTCAGTAGTGCTAGCAGGCGTACAGAGCTGACCAAGCCAGCCCATTGCACCCCTGAGTGCAGAAGATAGGTTGCTCCTCTCACATTTTCTCTCAAGATGTTACAAAGATCCTGCACCAAGGAAATGAGTAAGATAAGAACACTGATGTGACTCTCATCATAATCCTATGTTTCTTACATACTTTTCCTCCGAGCACGGTCACATACCTCTTTAATCTGGTTTACCAAAGCCAACCAGAAAGCCTTGAAGACTTAGAATTATTCCCTTCGCAAAGCTCCTGTCCAGCCTGATAAGATAACAGGACATGCGAAACAGATCTGACATGGCAACCATCCAATATGATGTTTTGCAAGCAAGAGTTAGTGGGACAGGGAGATATGAGACCTGATGCAAACTCAATCTGCCCTCAAAGCGCAACCCTCCCACGCAGTTCTTGAAGTACGCTCTTTGATTCAATTCAAAGGAAGTTAACAACGCTAAAGTAGGCTAGAAACAGCATTACAGGGGCAGAACTGCCAGGTTAAATCAAAATTAAACATCCAGGGGAAGTGATAGTTCTTATAATACAATATATAAAAGAGTTTTGAGGTTTCTTTATTTGATGAGCTTCTCAAAATAGTTAGTTCCCTAGTAGTCAGACAGAGATCTTCTGTATAGACATGGTTCAGCTCCCATCAATTCACCTGAAAGATTCCCACTGCTTTTGACAGGGCTTGGCTTGGAAACTGAGTACGCTGGGAAATGATCCCAGTATGTTTTTAGCCAAGCTGGACAAGTTCCCTTCTAAATTCTACCTTGTCCCACATCAGCTTTGACTTGCATCAGACGGGCATTACACATGCAAACACTGATAAGTTATTCCTAGGTGGAATAAATTAGTCCAGTCATTAAACACAAGGCCTACACGTACAGTGGGAATAAACTGTATAAAGCTTTATAGAGGCCTTGCAGGTTTTTCTTGCTTAACACTGCCAGCACAGTTCCCATGCCTGGCCCATACACCCCTTAAAAACACCAGAAAAGTGGCACTTACAAAAATGCTGCTTAAGTAGCAAATGGGCTGATGAGCAACTACTCAACTCGCTTTGTCCTCACAGGATGTATGTCTATCCCTGCACAAACCCATCTCAGGCAAAGGGAACTGAAATTTCCCCAGGAATCTCACCTAAGAAGTTTTTTATCTGCTCACCCTTGGAGCAAGACAACACTAAGCTCTAGGAATGAAGGAGGAGGTCTGGAGTATTCAGAGCAGCTCTCCTCAAAACGAAAACTCAGATCACGCTGCCTGGGACCCATCCCAGTTCAACCAGTTGTCACTGGTGGATGGGATTTCCTCAGAAATGAACCTGCTGCATGTTTAGTTTGAGAGCCAATCTGTGACACTTCCTGGCATGAGGGGCTGTCCCATGCGAAGTGAAGAGCAGGAGATATGTCCTCTGTAAGGGTAAAGGAAGAAGGGGCTTTTTCTCTTACCCAGACCCTGGTTCTGCTGCTCCCACTCGATGGTGTCGGGAACCTGGTAGGACACTCCAGCCAGCTGGGCCACAGGGTTTTCCAGGCCAGCTATAGGGTCCTGGGAGGTCTCGCCTGGAAGCGTGAAACCTGGCAGCTCCGTGTCACCCTCCATGCTTTCATCCATCGAATCTATGTCTTTGTCCTCCTCATCTTCCTCTTCCTCCTCTTCTTCTTCCTCCTCCTCTTCATCCTCTTCTTCTTCTTCACCCTCTGGCCAAGGAGACAAAAAGCAACATCAGGAAAGATCCCACAAGAAAGAAGGTTCACACATTTGTATAGGTGAGCACCAAGACAGCCAGTTGATACCACTTCTCCAAAGGCAGACCAGCTGAATGAACTCGTGCCTGTTTTCTAACAGGAAAGACACCCAAAGCCGTCAATTTAGAAGAGCTCACGACCATTTGAAACTGCCAAGTAACAAAGGGATGTTGCCTTAGACTGATCTACCTAGCGATATGGTTTAATGGGGATTAGGGATGGTTGGACTCGATGATCTCTAAGGTCTTTTCCAACCTAGAAATCTATGAATCTATGAATGAATTGGAATTACTGTTCTTTTGCTTCTTCATAGGGGAGTACAAACAAGCATGTGCATGTATATACTCATGTACATTACATATACCTGAGTATATGTAATTATAGCGCTCCCTTCTCAACTAATTTCGGCTCAAGTGAGAATTATTTCCCTGATTTCCAATCTTGGAGGTAGCAATGAGTTGGTTCTATTTTTAACTTTTGTTAGGTCTTTCACAGCTCTGGAAAAGACACTGCTTTCCAGCCGAATCAGACTGACATGGCTCCTCCTCCATAAAAAGCATCTTGCTTTGATGCTTGCTGGCAGATCAGCTCTCAGGTGCAGGAGAGCAGCAGCAACAGTAGCGATACTCAGCAGGCTTATATCGGCACTCCTGTCACAACAGATTTACACCAGACAAAAGTATGACTAAGGAAGACTTAACTCAGCGTTTGAAAGAAGGCAACACAGCCAATACTTCACGTGAGAGCAGATAAATGTGATGCTGAGGATCTATGCTAAATCCCTGTGGACTCTCTACTAGAGCTGATACCAAAATTCTTATTCCAAAACTGTCTGTACTGTTAACATATGGAGAGATAAACATTTAAGCCATATTTCATTGCTAGAATCTAAACTGGCAACACAAGAAGAACCATACTGGATCAAACCAAAGGCCCTTTCTGCCCACATCCTATTTCTGACCACAACTAGCCACAGATGCTGAAGAAAGCCTAGAACAGGGCACACAGCCAGTCTTCCTACAGTGTCTCTTCCCAGCTTTTAGTTATCAAAGACTTGGGGACTTCCTGAGCCAGAACTTGTATCCAAGCTATTTAATAGCTAATAATGCAGTCACCCACCATGAAAAGATAGTATCTGGAATAATGACATGTTTTCAATGTCTGATGGTTAGTTTTTGAAAGCTGAAAACTAAAACACAGTATTTATGCACTTTATCTAATTTACATGAAGCTCTGATCAGCCCAGTATAAAAACCCCTTCCTGATGTACTCAGACTGGGAGATCCCATCCGCCTGCATATGAGCAGCTGGTTCAGCCAAGGGTCTATCTACAAATCTCTTTTTTTTCTGTTGGAGTTGTACCTCATATAAGTTGCAGACACCACAACAAGATGGAGCAGCTGAGGAGCTGCACATATCATACCTGCTGGAAGTAAAGCAGGTGATGCTTCACTCTTCTCCTTTCTGCTGTGGGATGCAATGGCACCCCAGCACAGCTGTTCCACAAAACACCTGAGAATCAAACTGGGGAACTTTGGGGAAGCTATTTAGCTGATGGCTATTCAACTTGAATGAACTGGAGGAGCTGGCCTCCCTCCTTTGGCCTCTACTTCACAGACCGGAATACCTACAGAAATCAGTGCAGGTTATAAAACCATGGCATTCACTGTGCTGTTATGCGGCATCTCCTTTCCTTCTAATTCAAGGATTTGCTTTAAAACACTGGATGTTTTTTCCAGCTCCCCAGACAAGACAATTCTCCTTGTCACTTTTCAATTCTAGCCCTGCATTTCATACAAAGAAGCTGCTGTTTGAATTTAGCTGCATCATCCTGCTATAGCATGGCTTTCAGGACTTGGAAAGGAATGATCACTCCTGAAAACAATTATACCACATGGAGCATCTAATGGAGCTTATAGGGATGCAGTTACCTCCTTAAATTCCCATTACATTTTATAGGCAGTTTCTGTCTTATAATGTGCCCGTCATTTCAAATCAATGTAAGAATTTTCTCCATCAAACCGCATGTTTCCATACAAAAAACACAGCTTCTGTAAACCTGAGAAGGGCACCTGGAGAGTGCTTGCAGGAAACCTGCAAAGACAAGTTAATGCAGGTCTTTTGCCTCTGCTGAGAGCAACACAGCTATAAGCATTTCCAAACTTTAATGGCAAAGACACTTAAAAGCTAGCACACTGGAGAGGAGAAACATGAACAGAGGTTTTCCCTAGATGGACTGGGTGAAAAAGCAGCCAAGAAAAAACAGGGATCAGATATTTATCTCTGAAAAAATAGTTTAGGACAAGGCTTTTAGAAGCTTCTTGTGATTTTAGCAAGCCAAATCAGACACACCTGCCAGGATCTAGTTTTGAAGAAGCAGATAGTCATCACCATACCTCCAAAGGCAGCCAAGCTGAACACCCAAATTGAAAGCGCCAAGATTACTTATCACATCTGATCATCACCAAGCTACATCAATCATCACACAGCCACAGCACAAAGATGTGAACGATGTGGTCCTTGTAGCACAACCACTGCGAGGGGAAAGGAAAAGGCTCTGGACTTGTTTCCTCCTCCTCTCTAGCTCCATCGGACTTCTGAAAACAGCTTTTTAAACCCCCATCCCAAAACGCCAACAGCTTGCCTTGCTGCAAGGTGTGGCGCAGAGCACCACTTGGTGGTCACCAGGAGGAAGCTACGCTTCTATAAAAATCACAAACTTCACAAATGTTGGATTTCAGAAGCAGAGGTGGAACAGGAACCTGGCAGCTGTGGGCAGGCTGTGCATAACGCTTGGTAGTCTCATAAGATGGAAAATGGAAGCGAGCATCACAGAGCTGAACCTTAAGCTAGAGGTTTGTGCTTCACTCAAAACCTTTCCAAAAACCATATTTTCTCTCCTAAATTGGCACTTTTGGGCCTTTCAGAGGCCTCAGAAGCAGCTTTGAAAGAAAAGAAATAGAAGAGACTGAAAGTAGCAAGAACTGAAAGTGCAAAGCACAGCTGATTCAGAAGGCATTTGGATTTTCATGCGCATTTGCAGCCCATTGTGAACTATATCATGGATTATGCTTGTATATACTCATCGCTTTTGGCTAAGGTTTGTCTTAAAAAAAACAGATGATGAAACACTAGTGCCTTATGGTCCAGGCTCTAGTCTCCAACCAAAAAAAAAATGCAAGTATAAAGTTTTCTCAGCCACAGACATGAATCTATTCACATCAGGCATTCAGCTAGAGCCCAGCTCTAGGAGCACTTCTGAACATCTGACAGCAGTCACAAGTATCCCTTGCTTGCTGAAGTAAGCAGGTACACAGCACATAGAGCAGTTTCTGCCGTGAGCCATCCTCGCTCTACATCTTCATATGTTACATATAAGCTGATCTTCTTATCCTTTCTGCATGCACTGAATCCTTGCTCTTGTGACATGCCACGTGGACCTATCAAGCAGGGATGGTATCCTGTCTCCTCTCCTGGTGACACCAGACTTCAGCACAGAAACACTTATAGTCCAAGTGGACATTTGCAGTTTCCACTGCAGTTACATTAAAGTAAGAGTACTCTAGGGCAGAGTTAAACACTCATCTCCAAGAGTGACAAAATCCAAAATCTGCTACTCTTTGACAGCCTAAATAAGCACTGTATCCTGTAAAGTAGGTTCTGCTTTTCCTTCATGGAAAAAGGAAGGAAAAAAAAAAAAAAATCAAGACACTTAACACCAGCCCACTGTGACAACAGTACAACCTAAGAAAGATGCAAGCAGCAGGAAGTCCCAGGAAAATGAGATTCCCAGTTCACATGTCAAAGACTGCAGTTTTGAAAGACTTTACAACCTTGTAACAGGCATTCAAATTTTCAGGTTTAGAGAAGCTATAGGAGAGCACCAAGAAAACAAGTTTGAGATAAAAATAACAAATTTTTAGCATAATTTTTGGGAGTTCCCAGCTTTATTAGTAGAAGCAATTTTATTAGTAGAAATATCACCAGAAAAGGCCATGGTTGGGCTTTACCATGAGGTTCTGGACTGATTCATTAGCAACATCAGTGACAGCTGTAGGCAGGGATTTGCCATTTCAAGGCAGCAAAAGCTCCTTAGGCTTGCTTCAAAAAAAGGATTTGTACTACAAAAATGTACACATCCATGATGACTTTCGTGGCTTAGCAGAGAGTCATCAGACCACCTCACACCTCCTTCATGAGGCATTTTCATGAGGAGGAACCCACAACCAACAGTGTCTGAAACAGCTGGATAACAGTCAGCATCCAGCAAGTAAGAGCCTCAGCCTGCGATGGCAGCAGGGCCCTCACAAATCAGCTGCAATGAGAGACTTTGACCCCTCCAGATGGTCCCATGCTGCAGGGAAAGGGGATCACAGGGCCAGCTCTTCCTCTCAACAACTCAAAGCACCAAGAGCCTGTTCTTCATAGATGCTTCTCTACGGGCTTCACATAGCTGCAGAAACCCACACTCCCCCCAAGCAGGAGGAAATCTGAATTACCCAGTGCTGCTATTAGCACAGGGCAGCACCTGTAAGCCCACAACAGGATGAGCAGCACCAGCAAGGCACTTGGCACAGTGCTTGGAGCAAACACCACTGTCAGGAACATGCTACAAACAGGCTATGGCAGCAATGAAGAAAGATTTTTTTTGTGTGTGTGTATATAACGGCATATAATGAGCTGGAGCTGAAGCCACTGTTGTCATAATCCTGCTGAAAGCAATGGAGTTATATCAGGGTCTCCATTTTCATTTAAAGAAACCTTTGCTGATGTGGGATGTTTCTGTCTTTAGGTATTTTCCATTAACATTTGCAAACACTTTTTACTCCTCAGAAGACTCATGAAACCATCATTTGTCAGGTTTAGCACACAAGAAAAATAGCTTGCTGTGCCCTGAGCTGCAAGAGTCTCTCATTAGAAGGTGATAGATTCACTCAGTCACAAACTGAATT